CCCGACGACGCCGACCCCGGCACTGGGCCCTTCTCCGCGCCCATGACCCTCTCCCCTCTCGCGCGTGCGCCTCGACTGGTGTACTCCTCCTCCTCCGTTGGGCTGCCCGCGGAGCCGTGCCCACCTGACGCCAGTTCCCGCCGACGGCACCACCGCTGCCGTTTTCGTAGTACACGCTCCCTTTCCCACCCGCTGAGCGTCACCGCCACCAACGGCAGGGGCAATATCCTCAGGTTATATTGTAATGCCGGCAGCGGATATGTCCCCAATCGCCATTCCCCCAAGATTCTCCCCGCCCCGCTGTTTCGATTGCTCCGCCAGCGCTCTAGTGGGAACTTTAGTGGTCAAACCGTCGAGTTCCTTGTTGAATTCGAATGATAGCGTCACAGAAATGCCGCTCCCGCACCAGAACCCCATGCTCCGAGATGTAGCAACGAGTTTTTGACGTTGTCTTCGTCAGGTGCATCATGCGCATAGACGTCCCGAAATGGGCTTTACGGTCGGTGGCGTCTGTGACATACGTCGCCAACCGCCCAATTAGGTTGAACAGCGCCGCCGAGCGGCGGTGCAAATCCACCTCGATCTCCAGTAACTCCCCCCCGAAAGTACTGTTTAGCAGTGTTTACGACGATGATCCCGGTCATGGACGAGATCGTTGGCTCCTTTCCTCTCCATCCGGAAACCGCGGGCGAGCACCTGCGCATCGGCGGCTGTCCAGAACGGCAACGCGATCTCCCCTGGTGAATGTCCAGATGTCCACCGCCTTCCCCCCGTCACGGTACTTCTTCTCGGCGCCCGACATCATTGGGCCGCTAGTGTTCCCCCCACGGGAGCGCCGCCGGGCGGAATCGTCCTAGAGCCCACTGAACCCCCCCACCCCCGCGCCCCCGCTCCCGCCCCCTGCTGTTCAGAGCTTTACTATGCTTGTGTAGTGTTCGTGATAGTTGCTGCTGTGTGTGTCGACAGAGTTACGTAGAACAGTTTGATTGGACAGTTTGAATTGCGGAACTGCCGGCGTTGCAGATCGCTGAGTAGCCACATATTATCAGAACAGCGAGGAAGGTTATGTAGGAATGTTCCTCGTGGATGGTGCATTGCCGCGAGTGTGTTATTTGTGGATGTAGTGCATCAGCCAGAGGGTTAATGGTACGTTATGAAGTACGTTAGTCCCTGTTGAGTCTTTGTGTTCCGATATTATTGTGTTCCGGTATTGTGTTCGGCTTTTGTGCGTTGGTCGAGCGACATGGGTGGTGCTACGGTGTTGCTGCGGTGCTGCGGTGCTGCGGTGCTAGCCCCACCCTTGCTCACTCCACCTTTTCGACCTGTTCTTCCGAACCAAGGTCTCATCAATACAACATATTTTCCCCAGAAGCCACGAGTTTACCAACACGATACAGCGAATCAGTCGACTGCTGCTTGTCCCCTCGGACTGTACGACAAGAATGAACGGAGAGAGATTGATCACCTTGCGTCGTGATGAGTGGGCCTGCTGGGGATCATGTGGATGACCCACCTCCGGGTGATTCTCAGGATGTTTTTGGTGCTGAGAGATTGGATTCGATTGAGACACAGTTGTTCCAGCTCACGGGTATAATCAAGTCGCTTGTTGGTCAACGAGGTGATCAGGTGGAGTCCTCTGTTCCAGTAGCTGCCGCACCTGGAGGAGGCGGAACAGAGTACGCTGGTGCGCATCAATCGGGTGTTACTGACAGGACCGCGGGAGGTACGGGCAGCAGTGCCCTAGTCCTTGGCATATCTGGTGAGCATCAATCGGGTGCCGCCGGCGGGAGTGCGGGAGGTACGGGCGGTAATGCCCCAGTCCTTGGCACGTCCAGCGTGCGGATTGGAAAGTAGGAGTCTTATTAGATTCAGGCTTGAACCCCCATGCAACTGATGTGAATCGTTCCTCTGTAGGTGCTGCAAACTTTGGTTCGATTGGAATTGGAAGTGGGACTTTGGATAGTCAGTCTTTCATTCCGGGAATGGTAAGTGGGGCTTTAGATAGCCAGTCTTCCATTCCGCTCCCATCTACTCCATCGGGTGAGTGGTGGGGACGTGTCGCCAGTGGAAACACATATATTCCTGGGGCTGGCATTTCTGACACAGGAGAGAAGCTGGGTAGGAGTCCTTTAAAAGTTTCCATAGCTCCTATTGTTTTTGACGGGACTGATGTTGTCTCGTATCCATTGTTGTCAAAACATTTTCGGCTGCATGCCCTCCACAGTAGTCTATTTGAAGCGTTGTGTGTGTCTACGCATGAGATTCCGATTGCAAGCTTTGAATTCGACTTGACCCCGTCGGTACAGCAAAGATTCAGTGTGGATGTACTGCGCCAGGCAGAAAAGAGAACGGTGTGAAGTATGACATGGTGCTATTTTCTCAATCCAGATTGAACAACTCGCATGATCTCACGTGTCTGGTAGCGTATTACGAAGTTGTTCTGCTTGGGTGCTTGTTAAATGATGATGCTGTTCGCAAATACTCTTATTCGTGTGAGGAAGGACAGATGTGTCGAAGTATGGCGTAGGGGACACGGTTACTGCTTTCCACATGATGACAGACCCTCTCCCTAGCGATAAGGATGTGAGGTCTTTCTATTAGAACGCATGAGGGATTAACGGTGTGACTTGTGAAGTAGCACTGTCTGGAACCCTGGAGTAAGTGTTTGTGATTGGTGACAGCAAGTGTTCAGTAGAGTTGGAGAAGGTTTGTGCAACCTTTGTTCTCCCAGCGCAGTGTTTGATGGCAAGTTATGAAATACCCTCGGTGGTTTTGATGGTATGATGGCTACTTTCGACGGAACAGTTATTTTTTCAGAACTTCGATGGCATGGTTGTTGCTACTGTGTATCGTCTGGGTGACGAATCTGTTGGTTCGGTGTTAGCTGCCTTCGCCCCTCTAAGCCTCAAAGCAACGAAGATGGATGTGAACGAGTTTCATAACGCGTTTATGGTCATCCACATGAGGGATTGCTTCGAACAACTACAAAGCGACTGGGTATTGCGTTGACTGGTGAAATTCATGCGTGTAAGGGAATTTCGATGTCGAAGGCATTCAAGGGATTGCCCATAAAACGAAACGCGGATAAGACAAAAAGTTGGGCATAGTTTTTGTGGACCTGGGAGGACGGAAGGACGTTGCGTCTGTAGGGGGTAAACATTACCACATGATAGTGAAGGATAATTTCACTAGACGTACATGGCTGTATTTCCTGAGAAATAAATCAGACGCTCGGGGTGCTTTCAAAATTTTCCTTGCTAGTGTGCGTGCTGATGAAAACCTACCATCATTGGTTGAGATTGTTAGATCTGACAATGGGGGGAAGTTTTTCGGAGGGGAATTTGCGTCAGTGTGCAACGAGCTCTTGATTAAGCAAGGGTTCACCCCGGCTTGCAGTCCCCAACACAACGGTGTTGCAGAGCANATTTCACTAGACGTACATGGCTGTATTTCCTGAGAAATAAATCAGACGCTCGGGGTGCTTTCAAAATTTTCCTTGCTAGTGTGCGTGCTGATGAAAACCTACCATCATTGGTTGAGATTGTTAGATCTGACAATGGGGGGAAGTTTTTCGGAGGGGAATTTGCGTCAGTGTGCAACGAGCTCTTGATTAAGCAAGGGTTCACCCCGGCTTGCAGTCCCCAACACAACGGTGTTGCAGAGCATGGTTTGGGATTGATTGAGGCAGCTGCAATGGCGGCTCGTATTCAGGCGAAGGTCTTATTTGGGCATGTGCAGTTACCTACGACTAACAGACTCTGGGCTGAGGCCATGCACTGGGCTTGTGAAGCACTTAACCACACAGCTTGTTCAACCCAGACAGCAAGTCACCGTATGAGTTGTGGTATGGTGAAGCTAGTCATGCTAGACCATATCCGTTTTTGAAACCGGCGTGGTGTAGGTGGCAGCGACCGTCTAAGCTGCTACCGAAGGGTGAGGCTTGTTTTTGTGTCGGTCCTTTGCGATACCACCCGTGTGACTGTCATAGAGTACATACGAGGGACGGAACTATCCAGGAAACGCGGAATGTGACATGGGAAGCGTTGCCGTCACAACTCCCTCCACCGCAACCGTCTCTCTTACCGATAGAGGTCGCAGAGGAGGGAGGGGAGGAACGTGACGACGATATAGAAGCTGAGGTATGACCGCCTTAAGGGAGAGGAGTTCCCCACATTTCTTTGCGACGTAATGTAGCGGTCCCTGGTGGAGAAATCGATGAGGTTGGCAATGTTTATGCAGGAAGTGTAGGTCAATCCCCTTCTGTGCCATCTAAGCCCGCGATTGATTCCTCTAGTAGCGCAGCTCCCCCTGTGTCTTCTCCAGCAGACGAGTTCACCGATGAGAGAGGGCAGGAAGGGCCGGAGACAGGGGAGGCATAAAAGGCGGGTCCGGGAGGGCAGGAGGTAGAGTCGGAGGGTCAGGAAGGGTTGAATGAAGAGAGAGTGGAGCCGGGAGGGCAGGAGGTAGAATCGGAGACACTTCCCCCTGTAACGCACGTACCATCCAATCGTCATGTGCAGCATGAGCTTGCTAGTTACAACACTGCTGCGAATCAGAATGAAGTTAGAAGTGGGAGACCCGTGCGCAAACTCGGGCCGTAAACCAGCAGAGCGTATCCGACCTCATGGACACTGTTGGACCGATATCCGCATCCGAAGTTGTAGAAGCATACTTAGTGGGCCAGAGAGCGTCTGATACTATGGAACTGCCGAGAGAGCTCATTCAGGATGTAGAGGCAGAGCCTGGTAGCTACCGAGCAGCCCGCCAGTCAAAGCATGCCGCGATTTGGGACAAAACCATGTCTGCAGAGTTTGAAGGCTTGAGAGCAGGAACTTTCGCGTTAGCAGTAAAGGCCCCGATAGGCTGTAACGTGATCAATGCTAGATGGGTGTATAAATGAAGAGCAGGCAAAACAGGCAAGGTAGTGAAGGCCAAGGCTAGGCTTGTAGCGAAGGGCTTCAAGCAGAAGTATGGTGTGGATTATCTTGAGACTTTCTCGCCTACTGCACATGCTGCATCAATCCGTTTGGTATTATGGTAGCATTGGCGTGCAAGTATGACTTGGAATTTCTCCACTTTGACGTTGAGCAAGCGTTTGCTCAGTCGGAGTTGGATCACGAGTTCTTCATGAAGTTGCCTCCTGGCTGCAAGTCGATGTCGGCATTGGTCGTCCGCGTAGACAAGAGTTTGGATGGACTGAGGCAGGCATGTAGAAAAATTCACAAGAGACTTGTGTCGAACCTGAAGCGGATTAGTGTCGAACAATCTCTATCTGACCCCTGTGTTGTGCGTTTCATGATGAGAAACGAGGTGATAGGTATGATCGCGATTCATGTGGATGACATCCTGCATGGAGGAATTGAGAGCCTTGCCAAGATAGTTGTGCAAGCTCTAGGTGACTCTTTTACACGAAGAGTTTTGGCGAGGTCAAATTCTTTCTTGGTTGCGCATTTAGTCGCGACCGCGAAGCTGGCACGATTGACATGTCTCAAGAGAGTTGCATCAGGAGTGTTCTCGAGAGATTCAATATTTGTCGCACCAGCTCGATCCCTGCTTCCCCTGTTAGTGATTACAGGCCCGTGATGGAGGAGGAGAAGGCAGGGGATGTGCCGTTCCGAGAGGTGGTGGGGAGCCTGATGTGGATCGCCAACCAGACGAGGCCCGACATCTCAAATGCTGTGCGGGCGGTGGCGAGGCACTCATACGAGCCAAAGAAAAGCCACTGAAAGGCGGACCAGAAGATTCTAAATTATCTTCTGGAGACGGCATATCTAACTTTGAAGTACAAGCAAGACACTATGGTAGGCGTAGGCACGTTGGTGCACGTAAAACGCAGACTTCGCCAGTAAGGCCATTGACCGAAGATCAGTTTCGGGAGCATTAGTTCTTGTAGCTGACTGTCTTGTTGCTTGGATTTCCAGGACGCAGAAATGTATCACACTTTCAACAGCTGAAGCAGAGTATGTTGCGATGGGTGACGGTGTAAAAGAGGCTCTGTTTGTCAACGGAATGCTCGAGTTCTTGAGGCCTAGTGATTCATTGGTAAGATTCAGGTACGTGAGGACAACAAAGGTGCGACTTCACTTGCGTAGAATCCATTTAGTTCGTGTAACAGTAAGCACATTGACGTGAGGCACCATTTTCTTAGCAATTTGACAGAGAAGGGAGTGTTGGAAATCAGAAATGTCTCTAGCGAAGGACATAATGCGGACATTCTGACGAAGGCTCTGCCGAGAGATCTTATTGAAGTTCATCGTAATTTTGCTCTAGGCTCGAGATCTGAGAAGTAGAGGTCTGAGTCGTGTTTTAGTTTTTGTGTCTGTTTTTCTGATTTATATTTGGTTTGGTCGAGACAAAAGCCCCAAGGGAGGGTCTTCGTGATAGTTGCTGCTGTGTGTGTCGACAGAGTAACGTAGGAAAATTTGATTAGACAGTTTGAATTGCGGGACTGTCAGCGTTGCAGATCGCTGAGAAGCCACATATTATCAAAACAGCGAGGGACGTTCTGTGGGAATGTTCCTCGTGGATGGTGCATTGCCGCGAGTGTCTTATTTGCGGATAGTGCATCAGCCAGAGGATTCATGGTACGTTGTGAAGTATGTTAGCCCCTGTTGAGTCTTTGTGTTCCGATATTATTGTGTTCGGGTTTTGTGCGTTGGTCGAGCGACATGGGTGGTGGCTGCGGTGCTGCGGTGCTGTGGTGCTAGCCCCAGCCTTGCTCACTCCATCTTTTTGACCTGTTCTTCCGAACCAAAGTCTCATCAATACAACATATATTCCCCAGAAGCCACGAGTTTACCAACATGTAGCCCGCCGGCAGTGGATGCTCCTTCCGCTGCTGCTGCAGAAGAAGAAGAAATAGAAATGTCCGGAATATAGACTAGGCAGAATTAGTGTTCATATATTGAGGCGTGAGAGGCATGATCTCTTTTTACGCAGGCAGTCGACAATACTATCTGTACGTATTTCTCTGACAATAGCTATTTGCTCATTGCCAAATCCCTTTCTTCCCCTCGCTGCCTCGGGAACGTTTTGCGTAGGCATGACCCGTAGCGAGGGGGGGGGGTCTTTCTAGCGAGCAGGGCTAGACTCACCCCAAGGGACCGATACCTTCTTGCTGCGGCGCACCCGCCGTGAGGCGTGCGTAGTGGTGGAGTTGGGCCGGCACTGGTGAGTAAGGTACAAAGGTGCAGATGCGCGGGCCTCCAGGCCGTCGGTGTAGGCAGAAATGTCCGTCTAATCTTTGTGCGCGGAGGCAGACGTCATCAGAAAGTTGGACGGGCACTATGTACACGGCCCTAGGTTTGCTAGAGGGAGCTGTACTGTCTCGGTAACCTGGTTTTGCCATCAAAGGAGGAGGGGACAGGTGGTGACGAGCTGATTGGGCTGGTTGACCCTTCGGCGCCAGAATTTTTAGACCAAGAACCCTAAGTGCAACGAGGGAGAAAGCGAGGAACCGACTGGGATGGACAGCAACGAGAGCGTGTACGAAGCGGAGCGGGTCGAGTTTGGTCGTGCTAGGACTGGCCACAGCGGCACCGGAGCAGCGGCACCGGAGCAGTGGCACCGGAGCAGCGGAACCGGAGCAGGCGGACGGCATCGAACCGTGGCGCACGGACAAACATCTCTTGTGTTCTCAATTATTTTTCCGTTTTTTCCCTGAATACAAGTGTTGTGTGTGTGTGATGACGTCACTGGTTTTGTGGAGAGGCGCGGCAGAGATGGCGTGGATAACCCGGGTGCCTTTATTGTGTACCTGCATCGTGGAAGACCCCTTCAATGTGGAACGATTCCTGGTCAGTGTCGATGTTTACACTGCTGTGCCTAACACAGATGATCTGGATAGATTTGGGTGATTGTCAATTGCAATGACGGCTTTGGTTGGGTGTTGTTCTTCGTTGCATGTCCACGGACTCATTCTGACAGCACTTCAGACAGCAGCTGCATGCCCCGAGCTTGTGTACCATGCACCATGGTGCTATTGTACAGACAGCACTTCAGACAGAAGTACGCTGTAGTCGACAAACATTCATTTGGTTAAATGCGGGACAAGGGGGGTGATGCTGCGGCTGTAGTCGATTTGTAATGTGTGGGCGTGTAGTTCAGTTGTGAGCATGCAAACGTGCTGCAGGGATTGCAGGTGTACCTCCTAGGGCTTGCGTGCCCTTTTCTTGCTAATAGTGTGTGTGTTCTTTAGATCTTCTGATGGCTTCAGCATTTTTGTGACCACGGACCGAGTCTTTGCTAGATTTTGGGATTAGCAACTGACACGAGTTTAATGTGAAGAAAAACAACAACAAACAAACAACAACAATATTCCTCATACCATCTCTCCTGACATTAAGGGCAAGTTTGAAAATCCAGATCCCCTTATACGTCCGGATCCTGGAGATTCTGCGTCAACGGTAGGCGAGGAACACCCCAACTACAAAGCAGCGCTCAAACACAGGGCACGGTTATTGAAATGCACGCCAGAGACTGTTTAATTTTTGTCTTGAAGTTTGTTGTCGTCAGCAAGCTTGTAGACGGCAAAGGTGACAGCAGCTGCCAAGATTTCGACTGCACCAAGTGATGCCCGTGTTGATTGCGCTTTTCTTTATGATTGTTGTTTTGCAGTCTACCTGAAGCACGTGATTCGAACCCGCTTCTCGTGAATTCCACCTGGTAGACGACTTTTTTTTGCCCCAAGTCCTTTGGACAGTTGCGGTTTTGTACTGGGCTAAGTTCTTTAACCTTGCGCATCAAACGCCTATACAAGTAAATACACTCAGGCAGTTCCTTTGTTGGAGAGGACCTACTTCATAATGAGCCACGAAGCGGCGAAACCGCCTCGACTTTCTCTTCTTTTCTCTTCATCCCATGATAACCCGCAGGAATAAAGGGCCCACATAGCGGCCTGTTCCAACGCGATGCAGGGGCCCAAACTTGACTTCCGGCGGGGCTGAAGAACCCTCCATTCCGACTCGAACAAGACCTATAGAGCACCGATTGACGATGTGTTGGGTTCTGAGGGGAAAGAACGATAGGGCAGCCTTCGTCACACAGGTTTGGTGAATCTCGGACAAGGAATGGCTGTGCTACGCAGGCGTTTGTCCCGAAAATTGAAGTACCAAGTAGGAGATACCGCACCCGAACCCCTGGAGTTGTTGAGGTAAAGGAGGAACAAAAAGCGGAAATCCCATGTTCGAATTGAAGCCATCTACATAGTCAGCCAGGATAAGGCACAGGTGATACGCAGCTACGTCTCGCACAACCATAGTCTAGAAGCCGTCGCCCAATCCAATCCGTCGTTGGTGTTGCTCGTGTCGTCCGATCTTGCCATGGCTGATCCACAGCAGACATGCCCGTATCGAGGGCTAAACATTCCTCCTTTCTGTGTTTTTTATCCTCCTTGACCGTTTGTACCACAGGTTTCTCGTGGTCCAGTCTATGTGGTCTTATCATGATCGTACATACAACAGTTGCTCCGGAGCATTTGCCCTGTCTTTATCTTGTGTCTCCCATTGTTTGTGCCATATTCTGTGTAAGTGGGTATAGGTTGCTCGTACCCATCTACAATCTTGTTGATGGCTGTCGTGTACAATGTATTGGTCCTCCTGAAGTTGCACTTCCATCCTGTTGCTGTGCGCATGAACACATGTTCACGCATGTGGGCACATGCAGATATTAGGAGAAACAAATATACACACAGAAAGACTCATGCATGCGGAACCAACCGCGGCATAATCTTATTTCACTGCCTCCGCGCCCGAAACGCAATCTGAACCCGCCGCACTCGTACCTCGCACCTCGTACCAGCTGCCTCGTACCACTGCTGTAGTTCCATCGTCATCTCGCTGCTCACTGGGGGAGCGCGGTACATCGAGAGAGCAGCAGCAGTACGAACAGCCGCAAACAAGAAAAGGTGACTCAGCCAGCATCAATATCCATCTCCCGTGAGATTTGAGTCTTCGTGTGCGTCATGTGGCCGCACTTGTGTGCGTTTTCCCTGTGAGCTGGGCCGCAGATTAATCGATATGAGCCAGACGTGGCCAAACTGTTTGCCACAACGAACGGACTTCTTCAGCTGTCATCAGCTGTCGTGTCCAGATAAGACGGGGTAATGGGCAGCCGGGTAACCGACAAAATACCATGCACGAATCGATCTGCCATGCTGATGTGCAGTTGTTTAGCCACGTGCACCCGGGACAGGTGTGCGACGGACGCGACGAGGCTGGCGTGTGCGGTTCCTGTTCAAACAATTTCACGTTAATCATGCGGTAGTTCCTTTTCCGTCGATTCCAGTGCCCGCAAACACGCACTTCGGGAAGGCATGCGTGGTTCATTACCTGGCGGCGAGCATATCACACATCGCACTGCTGAAGAGCACCAGCAGCAGGGTAGAGATAAGATCGTGATAGACAGGGACGTGACAGAAAAATGAGGCAGGCTCAAAACTAATCTGCCATACTCAATCGCCTCAAGCCTGCCGCATTCCCCGCGGAATGAAAGCAAATAGTTTGCATTGCTATTTACCCAAATGCACCACACAAAGCCGTTGATGGAGATGAAGTTCACGAAAGCGGCCCATCAGCAGCAACAGCAGGCAGGGCAGACGGCTTTGTGAATGCAGTCAGTGGCGCCACGCAATACGCAACCTTTATCGATCCCGGGCAACCATCCTGAAAACGCACAGCAGTAGACCCTTACGATGGTAGGTGTGCCCAACGGTAGGTGTGCTCTCGGCTTGGGAGGGTGTGTATATGTTGTGTCTAAGAGATCTCGTCACTCTGCCTATTGAACAGCCAGTTGGACCCACTCAACATCAATAAACAACCCCGTCAGGTTGAGCTTGGCGCATGACCATACCCACGGCCAGCGGCGTGCAGGTGGTATAGGCCCGGCCCCTGCTGTTTGTCATAGCTGGCCTCGGATCTGCGTCCCAGCGGTGATGCATCTTTTGCTGGTGGTGCGCCTCTGTTTCCCTCCTACGGATCTGAACCACGCGTGTGCGGTTCCCAATTTTCATGTGCCTCCATTACCTCCACAACTCTCGGGGATTGGGTGACGTGTCTCCTACGACTCTTCGGGACAACTGCCTATGTAGCGCGGCCATCTATTGCCGGAGCACGACTTAACGGGTGTGGCGAAGAGTACCCAATTTTCTTCCTCACGAAGGAACTCGGGTCATCAATCGGTGCCCAATAGGTCCTTGGTTGGGTCGAAAAGGAGGGTAATTTTGGTCGCCCATGTTATCAAGTTTGAGCCGCGTCGCGTTGAAGAGGCCAAGAGCTAGAGAATTCTTCTCCCTTTTGGAATGAAGGGGAAAGGTCGCGCTTCGCGCTCCGCGGCTCATTATAGTGATATCCCTGGTCCATCGAAAGCGTCATAAATAGAATGGGGATCTTACTCACAACAGCCCTGCCCATACACGGATATACCCCGGCAGTACTGGGAGTTCTTCGTCACTTATGAACAAGCCTGCAAATACGTCGCGGCCAATCAAACCACAGTGGCAGTAACTTCTTGCGTCTGTATGCTTAGAGGTGTGCTGCTACTCATGACCAACTTCTTGAAATTTCAACTGTCAGGTGGGGGGGCGTACAGTTTGCGAGGATGGACGCATTGCTGGAGCTTCGCCCAACCGCAACCGGAGCAGCTGCCATGTCCGAGGAATGTATTGGGGAAGATGAGAGCCTACGCTTGACGCGAAGCTTCACTATCTTCCATGCGCTGATGAGAATATTCGGCTGCGGAAACCTGCCTTCGCATCTTGTGCTTCATATCTTGGGAGCAGATCATAGGTACCGTCGAACAGACAAGAACTTTACGTACTCCTTTTAGCCCTCGTCGGCTGTTGTGCATACTTGCAAGAGCGAAGTCCTCAAAATATTGATAGATGCGTGGAACGTTCGACAGAGACCCTCCCTCCAGAGGCAATCGAACTGGCCACAGCCGGCAGTTGACGGTTGCTGAAGAGCATCGTTTATCGATGTTGACCTGATAATTTGACAGCGATCACAAGGCTTTGACGATGCTCATGAGCACTTGTTTTCCGCCAGCGCTTGCATCGTTGAAAATGTCACGTTGGTCTACGAAAACAATTTGCCGTTCTGATGTCGGATGTTGCCAAGGTCGCTTCCAACCCTCCAGAGTCTGCCGCGGAGCTCAACGCGCTGTTTCGCTCTCTGCATGTCCTCGCCGGCTGATCAGTTGCATTCCTGTCGCCTTGCTCTTTCCGGCATCATCGCAGAGAAGGCACAACGCCGCAGCAGACGCGGGCGATGTTCGTAGACCTGCTCCAACGCCTCGGGCACGACGAACACGTGCTAGACCTGGACTTCGTCTTGTGCGGCCCCAATATTCCACCGCATCTGCATGGCACTCGGCATACCTTTGTCCACCATCACGCCCCAGCAGCTGCCAAAATGGACCAAAACATTTGTGGGCTGGATGGCGTGTGGCAAGAAAGTCCAGCTGCAACCCCTGGGATGAGGACCACCCGGTGCTGTGATTCTCCACCGTCTACAGCAGGGGCATTGACGGTCCGCCTTTGGTACAACTCTGGACTCTACCACGACGTATCTGGCTTGTTCGCAACACCGGACGCCATTTTCCTCTTCAACGCTGGTCTATGGGGCTATGATGACTGGGAGCCTACTTTAGAGTACATTCTCGGCTGCGACCGCGCCGCGTGTCCTAGCGATCACGTTGGCAATCGACAGGCTTCACCACCACCAATCCCCGCGACAAACCCTAGGCCAAGAAACGTGGCGCCTGTGGTCGTGACAAGCTACTGCTCAGAAGAAGCCTCCGATGACATGGAAACACTTGAGAGGGTGTTGTTGGCGGAAGATGGAAGCTTTGTGGAGGTATCACCTGGCGTTGCCAGTAGCCCAGTCGGTGGACTAGAGTGGTTGTGGAAGCCGGAAGTAAATCCTCATCGGTCGCGGGTACCCAGGCGCACAGAGTGTGGGGTTGAGGGGAGAGCACTATTTGAGAATCACAGCTGGCAGGCCCTGCGCCCACTGCGGTGCAGGCACTTCAGCAAGGCAACATGCAATGAAGGATTATGGTGACGGCAGCATTGTTCCCGACTGTACTGGTTGTGGTGACCCTTTACGGCATGACCCAGAAATCGGTGAGTGCGACGTTGCATGTGTGCTTTCTTCGCTCCACTTGGAAGATGGGAAAGGCTGGTATGATTAAGACGAAAATCGTGGGGACAAATATATTCATAAATTTACCGGTTGATAAGCACGTGCGGCGAGAAGTTTGTCAAGTACATCCCAAGATCCGCGCGTAACAAACAGTTGGTCAACCACCGCCCACAGACCGAGACCAAACCGAGTGGCCGCTATCGGGAAGCTCGTGGTAATGGAGAAGTCTCTCTTTGAGGACGTTGCGCACAACCTTCAGCACACTCCTCGGCAAAGCCCGACCCTTTTCCATCGCCAACGTCCTGGTGCTCGCTGTGCTCTCCCTGTACGGCACCCACCCTTCCAAGCGCCCCTTGTGGCTGAACAATCGAGGGCGGGGGTGGAACCTCACCCTGGGGGCCGTACCACTTTCCGGCAACTGGAAAATATGAGTTGCCTTCGCAGTCGAGCATAGCAAACTGCACCGTAGGAGCAGTGTCACCCTCGCCTTCCTGCAACTGGAGATGCAGGTGAGGTGTCGGACAAAACCCCGCCCCGCCTGACAAGCAGAGTGGTTGCCCCGCTTCAACTCGATCGCCCGGATTGACAAGCGCGGACCCCGCCAGAATGTGGACGTACTCTGCTAGAAGACCATCCTCTTGCAGGACGGTAACCTGTCCATGAACGTCATTGACGCGAAAATCATGTGGAAGGATGTGTCGGGTCATCTGAGATGATTCAAAAACGTTGTAAAATTAGTCATACCAACTCAGCCGGGACGAACTGGTTTTTGTCTTTTTTTCCTGATAGGCATGCGCCGTTGAATGGATCTTTCCGCCCACGTTGTCAACCCTTTCGGGAAGGGCGAAAACGTCTGGAGAGCCACCATATGCAAACAAGACTTCCGGCATACGAAAACGTGTGGGTGAACAAGAGTGTATCGTCCTCGACCTTCACCTTCCCCTTGTTTTGAGTCCATCTCTTGTTTGCTACACAAGAGGAAGTCTTCTAGGGTAAGTGGAACGCGACCGGCAGTCGGCGACCCGCTTCTTCACAATCTGATGTGCGCGTATCCACGGGTGCGCTACGCCCACCATGTCGTCAGAAGGCCCACAGGTCCTCCTTCACGATTTTCGGTGGTGTGGCGGATTATGAACCCGGCTTATCCAGGCATCTCGTAGTTGACGCCAACGTGAAAAGAGGAGATTGTCCTCGACAAACCCTGCTACCCCTGTTGAAGTTCACCTCCACAGGTTGACTCATACCAAAGCCCTACGTTTCCCAGCGGAATACATTTTTCTCTTCCCGCACCACGAAAACATTGGTTTTGGTAACGGGGCGCTGCTTCAGAGCTACCGCAAATTGTGCTTTGGGTGGTGTAGTGGTATGATATGTGCATGGGTCAGTCCGATTCGTTCGCAATATTTAAGGCATCTACACGAATGGGAAAGTGGGAAGAATCCTTTGTACTAATCCCTGCCTGATTTGACCGCACTCTTACGGCTAATAGTATCACAGAGGCCACCCCACAACGGGAAGCCGATTGCAGTACGACAGCACTGGTCAAAATACGCACCGAATTCCAGTGGAACAGCCCTCTTGCGTGTACTCCACCGGCAGTCTCGGACTGCCGTACTTCCTTGACTGTCCCACTCGCAAGCGATAGAATTGGCGTTCCCTCGGGGCATTCGAAATCCAGCGCGTGGTGTGTACCGGGAAAGAAATGGGTGAAGCTACCGCCCACCCCCTGCGGTAGAGCGATCGAGCAGATTCCTCAATGAGCGTGCGCTAAGGCCATGTGACGACTACCGATGTGTCGTAACTGGCCACGGGATGCTAGTAAGGTTCAACTTGGGAAAACAAATTTGGTTTCCCACACGGGGTGTTGGGTCCAATTGTACCCCAAGTCCCGAGGTCTACTGTTAACTTGCGTCGCTCACACATCGGTAATAGGAGGGTCACAATTACATTGTCCCCTGCCTTGATGGCAGCTGTCACCGAGTCAATCAAATGAACCGAACGCTCGGAACACGAAGGGCACGGTACCTGAGAACAGAGGAAGGGGGCGTTTCCCCCAAGAGGAAACGGGTACGCGCGTGAGGATTCCCACGCGGCCGGGTTAGGGTGTTGCTTGACGTTCTTGATGTCCGAGAACAAATCGATCGCTTCCTCTCCACACGCCTGGCCTTCGGTGACGTCCAAGTAGCAGGCCTCGATTACCCCACGGGGCTTGACTACCAGAACAAGCGTGGTTACAAGGTCCTCTAGGCCCTCGCTGTTGCGGGTTAGCCCCGCCGCCATGGGCCGGCGCTGACCGTCGAAGGCTGCGTGTTTAGTGGTGATGAAAAACGATTTGTCCGTGTCGTATCCGGTGTTGATAACGCTGCAACACATGGCCGGCGGGGGCGGAAGCGGGGGCGGGGGCGAGGGGCGGCGGCGGTCTAAGATCGATACCGCTGAAGGAAGCAATGACTTTGGTGCAACATCGTTCCAAAAAAACACAAGAAGTAATGCCCACCTTGGTCACCAAAACAGTGTCAGATTGGCCGATTCGTAGCAGGAAATAGCACAAACACAGGCAAGGGCACCCCTGCCATTGACGAATGGCACGGCAAGACACTCCTAACCCCCAGCATTGAAATTTACCGCGCTATGGGCACCTCAGGGAACGGGTGTCTGGGTCAACGATCATGTCTGGCACCCCCTCCTCTTCTCCAGGCTCTAGCCCGTAGTCTTCAAGGTCGAAATCTGCGGCTTCGATTATCCACTCCGCGTCGTGATGCGCGATGTGACATCCTGGCTGGCTCGAGGCAACGTAGTTGCCACGTACGTTCGCTGTCGAAGCATCCCCCGCCATGTGAGCGTCACACAAAATGAAATGCACTGACGAGTTGGTCAGCGCGGGGGGTGGGGATTCGAATTACTTACCCAAACTATAAATGACACTGTTCGTCCAAAACCAACAACAGCAGTATCGCGCTCCTTGTCTATGTGATTGAGTAGCACTCCCAATAAATCTTCCCTCCCTGAGGTTCGAATCTTACCAGGTGCTGGCTACGACAGTGCAACAGACTAGTGTTACGCAGCACTTGACCTCTGTGTTATTGGGCAGATCTCACCAGCAGCACAGAGGCCACGCGTGCTCCTCACATCCAATTCCCACACGCTTTATTGCGGCCCTCATATAGGTGTGTCGCTTCCATAACCTCACACTATCAATGGGGCGCGGAATGGTCGTGAGCGAAACATCTACACGTTCCTCCGACAGCGTTGATACAACAATGAACAATATTCTTCAACAAAGCGTGCTCCAGGTCAGTTGCAAAATCTTTGCGCACTCCAGAAGAACATTGAACTAGTACATATGGTAGGATTACGAGGTTATCCACTTGACCAACAGGGCAACTAGTCCATGAACGCGATACTGTTATGTGTAAAACGGCAACAGCAGTACGTAGTCTACAGGAGTACTTGTCAACTGCGCTCCGCTGCGAACTCCTGCCACGCGTAGACTATATCTACTTGTACAAGCAAACCCACCGGTGGGTGAACACGTAGACGAATGTATCCCTTGCACGGGCGTCTTCACTCTAACGCAGTTACGATGACTGCTTCACTGCTGTACAGCAGTACTGCTTGTAGTACGGGAGGGAGCTATTAGCCTGCCTGGCAGCTGGCAGGCACATGATGATCGGAATGCGGCGCAATTAACGGAGTGTTCTCATTTCCACTTCCCGAGCGGGAGGCGTTCTTCCACAGCCCTGGGAGCGACGGAGCGACGGAGCGACGGAGCAAAGAGCAAAGAAGAGGGCGTACAGGCGACAGCTATTTGTAGCAGTGAAGCACCAGAGAGCGAGCGCGTGAGAGATTCAAACTCTCTTAGCGTAACTATTCAGGGAGTTCGACTCACACCCAAATCTACATACAGCAGCTGGTGGAGACCCAGTAAATGGAGGCTGCTCAACTTCCAGCGGATGCCCTGCCTGCGGGGTGGTCATCGGGAGGGGCTGGCGCCGGCGACCCAGAGTCGGCACAGCGCAAGGCGCAGCAGGTGGGTAAATTACTGAAGAGGTACACAGCAAGCTGGGCGACACCCTTTTGTCCGGGGTGAGATTTGTTGGCGTCCGGGTGTCTGACTGCTACGGTCAATGTCCTGCTACTCTTGCTCGTTGTATACGTTGAATTACTGCCCTTTTCATGTCGGACTGAGCGAGGGCTCCTCTTGAGTCGTTGTGGGGGTGTTTGCCACGTTGGAAACCATGTCAGCCGTAGGAGTGGGCGATGTATCTCCACGTGCAAACCTCCTGGCATTTGGCGACGCGTCGTAGCCCAAGTTCGGCCGAAACGACGGGAAGCACAGCAGTGAATACTCTCGCGACATTGTGCCATTGGCAGACAGTGTGCAGGAGACGCTCGCCGATCCCATCGCCAAGGCCGTGAAGTATTCATAATCGCCCCAACGGTGGTATGGGCACTTGAAACTGGCTCAAGCAAGACCTTTTGACTTGTGGAATAGGTGAATGCTCACAGCAGTGTAGATCTGTGGACGCTAGAACGACACAGATATGATTGATCGTTGCTACGTGACAACCTTGGTGCCTTGTTGCGTAGTTGGGCTCTGTCGCCTAGCCCCGCAACAACGACCAACAGCACTTGCGCACACTTTGAGAGGCTGCCGCCAGGAACGAATTCTCTACAAAGCAACATGAAGCATAAGCCGACCATTTTTACAGGCGGGGAAAGTCGTTGAAGGCGTGCTATTCGTTGCGATGTTAACCACCATGTTGTCAGTACGTGCTGTGCGGTCCGCCGCAGGCAATTGGGTATCGCTCAGCGCTCACGGGCAGCGATGTTGATGATGCCATCAAGCGTCGTTATATTTCGGATATTATCCCATGACAACGCAAAATCATGGAAACGAAGCTTTTACGCAACATCAACTCGCAGCGGTCGCTCTCTCGACCGCCTCACTCGTCATCGCTTTGTCTCGCGCATACCACCGCAGGAGCAGCAGGAGCAGGAACGACGAAAGCAGATCCTGGACCAAATCATGACTGTGGAGGCGCGCCTCCGTTTGAGCAATATCGGTACGTCCCGCACATCGACGGGGATGTCGTGGCCGGGTTTATTGCAGCATGAGCGATAGAAAATCAAGTTTGTGGCGGATCCTAGATAACCGTTGTAGGTGACGGAAGATATCGCACCCCCTGGCCCATTTTTCGACGCTCAATTGCTCCACAGCAGAAAGAGTGGGATGGCGTTGAAACCTTCTCAACTTTCCGAAAATAACGTTTCCTCTTCCGCCGTGGAGTAGTTGAGCTTTGACAATCAGGTCCAGGGGGTGTGCTACCTTGTGTCACCCAAGGTACATTGTTCATTACGCCGCAACTTACGAGAGATGCAACTGTATCTCTGGTTCATTTTGGTGATTCATCCCCAGTCTTCAACCGTCAACGGTTCCAGCAGTAGTGATGCATTCGTTTCGGCCCCCAACACGGATAGTTGCATTCGAAAGTCTATGCCCTAGAATCAATCCTATGACACCAATCACGCATCACCCGCCTTCATGTCGCATCCTTCACGGTGTGTGTGTGTTTTCGTCCTATTTGTTATGGCGACAGTCCCCCCAGTTTTCGTGGTGAGACGTGTACTATACTTTTCAGCGTATGTAGAGTACTACACTTTTCAGTGTTTTTTTTCGTACAACTACAACCATTCAGGGTCACACAGGAGGGGGTAAACACCAGGGCTTTTTCCTTCTTTTTATTTCTTTTCATGCCCCACCTTCCTCCTGCGGTGCGTGCTGAATTTTTATTTTTATCGCGAGAAGGGTCCAGCCGTCCCTTTCCCTCGTCAACGGTGCTAACCTCGAAGTTTGGTACTCGCGAGAGCTTTTTAGCTACATTTCGCTTTCTCCCGCAAATTTAGTAAACTTTTTCACCCCATGGGGATTCGAACTCGCCACCTCTGCGACTAGCGGATTACGAGGATACCACTAGACCACCGGGGCGACCGGTTTCACGCTGCTCGTAGCTGAAGAAGTATAAACATTTGCCACTGGCACACACAGCGATGGTTAAGCCGGACAAGGCGAGACGCGTGGAGGAAATGCTAATACATGCGGCAACGTCGGGAAAACTCGGCGGCAAGGTCACGGAGGACCAGTTCATCCAGATGCTGGAGCAGGTACGACATATGAGCTCGACTGCTGTACGTCGTCTTGAAGCCCCGTCATGCCATGCGTGCTGGTAACTTCGTGACGTGTAGAAAGGAAATCGGGTCCCTTCGAGCCGTAAAATAGTTGCACGTAATGCATATGGATGAGGTGGTGTGCCAAGGTAGACGTTGAAGTCCTTTCATGTCAGGCCGTTGCGGAAGAGTTTGGTTGGTATTCTCGCCGCCATAAAACATTGTCGTTGCTACCTGTCGTCGTTAGATGGAGCTGTGTCGTTACCTACGATCGGCTCGCAAAATGTTTTCGATCTTGCTGTTGCGCCTCCTTTCCGCTTGTCTGGTGGCTTGCACCAACGTAGGTGAGCTCGCAGATGGAAAAGAGGACGAAGGTGACCATCAAGCGGAAAACGTACTTCGACGAACAAGACTCGGACGACAACGATGACGATATGATGTAAATCGGGTTTTACAAGACCCAGGAAAGTCGCCCTATCGGTTTTGCCAGCTGCGTGATGCGTTGCCGACATGTGTAGGTGAACGAGTGTTGCTTCTTGAGCTTCGTTGTCAATAAAGGAGGCGCCGGGTTGTGTTGATTACAGAAATGCTTCCCGCTAGGTCGCGAGCTTGGTTTGGTGGACTTGTACAGAACAAGGGGGCAGCAAAGATGCGTAGCCAGTATTTTTTTAACCTTTTTTCAGGTAGCAAACTCCATGTAACCGCACCCGAGGTTGGCCTCTTCCACACGAACGGATTTGCATCAAGCCGCCCGATAGACCGGAGTGACGGAGGTTGTGTATCACATGTTCAAAGATGTAGGTAGCTGGCGGCTTGCTGGATCTACCAGCCGGTTGAAGGCAGCACACATCACATCGTGTTGGTGATTCGCAGGTATGTATTCGGTGCTGTCCCGATGCCTTCGATCTTAGTGTAACTCGGGAACATATGCGGTGGTTAATTGGAACTACGCTGGGGGTGTCGTCGCTCCGCACGGGCAGCTCCAGCAGTATCAAGAGTAGTGCCAAGCCGCTGATGAGGGACATCGATCTGCTGGGAAGGAAACCATCAACCTAGGAATGACCCCATCCGTTGCACAATTGTACCTTGTTTCTCGATGGTTTCGCGGTCGGCACTTCGGCCCAAAACATTTCGTTGCTCTCTTCCTTGTTACCCGCCTCCGAACTGTCGGAGGTGTTCTTCTCCGGGAGTATCTGTTTTTTGGTGGGACGCAGAATATTTGATCCGAGTGTGTCAAGACGGCAGGGTTGTTGGAAAAACTGTGAGCGACGGTTGATAGAGTCAATCGATTCACAGGAGTTGTGTTGTTCGTGGAGGGCAGAGCAGAGTCATTTCTTCGTCTACACGTTTCTTTCAGGAGTTTCTTCAAATGATGCAACTCTGACATACTACTTTAGTCCTGACTTCCGAAGTTGTCCGGCGTGCCCGTGGTTCAGAACGCAAAGATATCTAGAGATTTCGAGACGTGTGATCATCGCGCATGTTTCAAGCGGGGTTGCACTGCTGGTGGCCCCGCCCCCTTCATGCAGGCAACACAAAACCCACACGGCCTCATTGACCACTGCCCCTCTGCGCTGGATTGATCTAAGCTCCAAAAGCATACAGCTTCTGAGTTGGGTTGACATCAACTGGAAGACTGGAAGCACTGCTGTGAGTGGTAGCCAAAACACGGGCTTGATCTGGGCGTCGTGGTGAATACCGCGGACCTGCAGAGAACAACAGCTCTTTCTCTGAATAAGGTGTAACAGAAGCAACGTTCGTTCATCTCAAACCCATGCACACCAACACAATCCGTTTCCTTCGTTGTTCTGGAGCGCATCACCAGCGACGTTGGCAACGCTCTCGCACTCTTGTTGGGGTAGTACGGTGACGTAGTGTCCAAAAAGCAGAGCGTGGCGAGCAGTTTATCAACAATCCATATCAATGGTGATCCCCGCTGGAGAGTCGCCCGACGTACCATCGTATAAAGCAATCGAGACTATACATAGAATCATGAGCCTGATACTCGTAGAGGGGCGTACCCCTAAAGGGCAGCGGGCACGCAGGCAGGCAGGCACAAGAATCTTTGCAAATTCATGAACTGCTGTAGAGTAGAGTCAATTCTCTGGTAGTTGACGGAACATGTAGCCAGCGCGGGCTGCTGAAATAGATTATAATGCAACAGGCCTCCGTGACCTCTGCGAGACATGTTTTACCGTGGCTCTCCGGCATGTGAATCGCCAAGGAGGTGGGACATTGTCCTCGTCGCTGGCAAAGCACATGGCGCGTACAGGAGGAGGAGGGAGGCTGCTGAAGGATAGCAAGGTGCTTGGTGCTCTTGCTGTGCTGCGCGATATCGATCATTTAGACTACGCCGCTTCCGAAATTTGTGCGTGTACCTTGTAGATGGCAATGGGCCGCTTGCTGTGAATAGGGAAGGGCAATGGAAACTTGTTGATCGCCAACAACAAGGTGCATGACCGTGGTAGCAGCAATTACGTCCGACTTTGCAGCTCGCGGAACGCAACAATTATCACTTGATCACCATATTTCAGTTTTTGTGAGTTACCTCGGTCAATTGCCGCGAGCCAACGAAGACGGTAGTCAACAACACAGCTGATGACAATCCAATACAGCATAACAGCGTCATGGCCCTTTCCCTCGTCTTCGGCTTGCCCAGATCGCGATTGGAGTGTCGGACGATGTTTTGGACAAGGTGGGAGAGAGGTAAGCATTGATGAGGCATCGAGGGATTTGTTCTTCGAATATTTACCCGCACTCATTCCACCTCTGTTGTACATGACACGTTCCCGCATGGGTGGTACTGGGCACTGCTCCCCCCACACTACAGCTTCGTGACTCCTACATGAAAAGCCTGTGCAAAACATGTACAGTAGTAGAAGCTGCTCCTACGACAATGTCTCCGAAGTATGCAGTAAGCGGTGTGCAGTAAGAGCCCGCGCGTGTCTCTATTTTTTGCCCTGGCTGGGGTTCTTCGTTCCGTAGAGGTCTGCTACAACCTACAGTACGCATGGCCGCTCTTGTGTAGACTAAATCGTTTTAGTCCACGGGGAGCTCACAAATTGTCCTCAAAATCTCAGATTTGACTTTTCCAGTAGGGCTCGATTTATTTTCTTGGCTGCCAAGTTCTAAGTCGGACAACAGTGATTATTGGACAATTTATCGGACAACATACGCTTTCAGCACAGCAGTAACACGATCAATTGACATCGTCTCAAGAGGGTACTGACCTTGAACCCAACTTCCCCGATAGTATGATTTATCCAACAGTTTCCTGAATACAAAAACCTTGCGAAGGCCTGAAGTTGGTTTGTTTAGCTTAGGGTGAGGGAAGAGGGTCTGCGTACCTCCTCCCTGTTCTATTTCCTGACAATGCTGAATTTCCCGCGAAGAAGGCGGTCCCGTGCTCAACGGTGGCGACGGAATGAGACACTGAGCCTCCACCCAGCAGCAGTTGCGTCTATGCGCTCTCCACCTCGCTACTACTGTAGACGGCGATCATTCGATCCAAGAGAGATTCGAACCCACAATCTAGAGAGTCAGACAGACCGTTTACTGCTGTATGCATATAATTTGGTCAACATGAGCTTACTACGTAAATTCAGTTCGTACAATATGATAGTAGCTCACGCCTCCAGGGCGTGGAATGTGGTTGGCATGTCAGCGGAAAACAATGTACCTGGTGTGTGTGTGAACACACCCTGGCTTCACCAATGTGCGAGGGTACATAGTCTCTTCAGGTCTACCTTGTTGTTCTGATTTTTGCTGTTCGTCTGTTTTTTTATTCTAGTGCAGCTTTCGAGCGATATGGGGCAACGTTTTTCCACAGCATGTGGCATCTTCTTTCTTTTTCTAAATCTAGCGGAAAATTCCTCTGCGAGTGTTGAGATAGTTGCAGTGTTTCTCTCTCGCATTTGTTCCTTGGTTTGGCTTAGCTTGTGGCCGCGGACATTCGATTATCTGCCGTGACGGGCGGGGAAGAAGAGGGTCAGAACGGTTGTTACTTGCTTCGCACCGTGGACGTCAGAGGTCGCTTGAGTGTAATAACGGGTACGAGAAAAATAAAAAAGGCGAGCCCATCGGGGCTGACTCGACGAAATTGTTTTTGGTAGTACGTGACTACTTGCCTCTGCTGGGCGTTCGTTGGTCAGGATGCAGAAGATGGAGCTCAAGGCTGGCGACGTCCTGGTGAAGGAGGGACAACCGATGCCGGGCTTCTACTAGTGAGACCCACCAACATCGCAGACATAGAAAGAAGACATATTCTACGCCTTTGGGTATCAGAGAAGTATAGCTGTCTACACATACATTAGGGGCTGCCGTCCCTCAGTACCTTAGGGGTAGGTGTCGATGCGTGCGTCTCTTTGGCGAAGACCAGTCATCCCTAGCGCCCCTGACACAATTTCCGCTCTTGGTTCCTGGATGATGCGTCATGTCAGCCAAGGGAGAATGTCGATCCGTGCTCTTTTATCGCGTTGACCCCCCACTCTTGACGGCAGCACGCCAGCGTCCACGCGAGCGATTGTCCTTGCGCCTCGCCATTCCCTAACCCTGCCCCGTTACCGCGCGTTGCGGCGGAACTCAATATCGTTGCCCGCACGCCTCGAAGCATCGAAACCGGGATGCTCGAGCGCGTGAAAAGTCACTCCGGCGCCGCCGACGGCGAGGAGTTCTTGTTGGACACCAAGGAGGCGGGATCTGTGACGGGGCTCCTGCATGTCCTCAAGTCCGGAAAAGCAGATCCGGCCTTTGCCACGATCAAGGCTCGTGGCGAGTCCACGGTGAGGGGGAAACAAACGCTTGAGTGTGCGCTGTTCAAAAGGTTACTCACGGTTCAGTGTACGCTGATCAAATGATTACGCTTAAGTTCTTTAGCTTGGCGAGTCATGACCGACTTTGCCTAAGGTGATTGAAGTGGTCTGGGATAGCTGCGGAACCGAGCGTTTGGCGGGTTCGTGCAGGCTTGAAACGCCGCCTCATTCGAAACCCTCCTTTCGTTCTGTTTACAATACATGTAGAACAGAACAATCAAGCCGTGTGGCCATGCTCCCAGAATTGCTGCAACCTTCAGCAGCCGGGACAAATCCCCACCATGATGATATGCGGAAACTCAGTACATGTTTCGCTGTCGCTTCGTGATGGTTGGCCGACGCTGCTCACAATTCTTTTAAGCCGTCGTGATCCCCACCCACGCTTGGCGCGCCTGTTTTCCTGTAAGGTGTGGTGCCTCAGCAGAGACGACCTTGAGACCGAAGTCAGGGGTAGACCGGACTTCGCCATGGGTCTCCTGGGGACGTTGGCCGAGCAAATGCGCGGGCAATCAAAGGCAAGAGTTGTAGTGGTGACTCTCATGGACTGGAAGGAGTTGCACGTTCGAGGGAAGAATGTGATGGTTAGGCTGGTTCTCGGATTGTTGTTCGCGGCTCCGGGGTTTGGGCATGGTCACACGTAAACGTGGTAAAGTGGAAGCATTACCGACGTGTTTGGGGTGGTTCAACGGGATCATGAAGAGTGGCATTGATGTGCTGTCCTTTTTTGACGTTCTACACGAATTTTTTGGCTCCAGGTGCGTAAGAAAGTTGATCGATGTATCACGCAGACGGCAGTGCGACGAGGCGAACGACATCAAACACGCCGCTTTGTTCCCGTCCTCGATGCATCCACTGCTTTGCAATGATGTGTATGGCAATTCCCCCCAATTTCGGGCGGCAGGTAGTAGCCCACCTGAAAAGCAAAGCCGAGGTGACCGGCAGCGGAGGAGAGCGGTTCAAAGGTGTGAGGGTGATGTGCTACGACTCGTCGGGGTGGGTGAGGAAGAACTTCCAAGCCAAGGTCGACAAGCACAACGAGGTGCGCCAGCCAGCCTCCGCGCTGCCTTCGCTCGGTACAACGTGGTCCGTGCACACAGTGTTGGCGATGCTCGTCTGTACGTGTATCTTGAACCCTTTCCGGTTTTGTTCTTACCCCGCACGGAGTGGCGTTTGGAGTATTGAGAGGTTGCCGTGATGAGTGGGTAGCGGAGTGGGGCTTGAACCCTTGAGTGCCACATGATCTCCATTGTTTATGTGCCGCGGGGTACCACGACACACCAGGTCAGGGTCGAAATCAACACGTGACAATGGTGCCGAGAAGACTTGCACGGCAAGGTCTCCACTGACATGCGCGAAAAAGAGGTTCCATGCTGTCTCGTCGTCGGATTCGAGGCTTGGCCATTCGGCGCTGACCATCTCTAGCCGCTCTCGCCTTGAAATTTCGCCGTTCGTAAACCCTTCAGGCAGCGAGCCCGAGCGAGAGGATCTTGTTCGATTTCACGTCGGACACCCTTAGCTCCTCTTCAGCTTCTGCCGCCGTCGGGTAAGGGCAGACAACGTCACCTCGGGACCTCGGGGATTGCTCAATTGTTGTTGTTGGATGTGGTGGTGGTGGATTTTTCTTGTTGTTGCCGTCGTTGTCGCTGTTGTTGTCTTCGCATTAAATGGCCGGTCTGACCTTTGCACCTGCTCCTCGCGCGGCAAAGAAACGAGGTCGACGGTGGTTACACTTCAAATCGATTACTTTTAGAAGCAACCCGAAACCTTGCAAACAAATGCAAGCTCCACCACAAATTTGTCCGGAAGATAAACCCAACGTTGGGTGTAATGCGCTGGTAAATGAAGCAAGTTCAACCCGGCAGCTGAGTAAAAAATACAGCGTGCTATTGGTGAGTAACTAGATTTCCTGCAGGAGCTACGCCCCCTCCCCTCCAGGGAGTATGTGTGCCATCTGATTTGATTGTCGCCAGTGCTTTATGCAACATTCTCGGAAAGAGCATCACGAGTATTTTATCACCGCCTCGATTCACTCCTTGCCGCACCCTCGGTCTTGCTCGTAGTTACGATGTGGTTTGCCTGTTCGTCAACGACGTGGCGGATGGGAAAGTTCTCCAGACTCTCGGCATGGTAGGCGTCGGCATGGTGGCTCTACGGTGAGCTACGTGACACCAGACAGGCCTGGCAGTTTTCGTTCAATGGTTTTGGGATCTGTTTTTGTGTCTTAGAACAGCGAGTATTTGCGTCGTCATTTGCTGGATGATCAGTTGACGTGTCCCTCGCAGCCCACCTATATTTCGGTTCACGTGTAGAACCTCAGTATTTTGCGAGTCGATCCGAGAGCTCGTTTATTTTTTTTGTCGATGTCGTGGAAACCGCTTGCTTTTCCTTGCTAAACACCACTTTCTCCCGGTGTGCCCTGCTGCCATTTCGTTCCACGTTCTGTCTTCTATCTTGATGCCTATGAAAACGTTATCTAGCACTGGCCCTTTTTCTGCCAACGTCACCCTCGAGAACATCCTCCTATGCAAACCCAGCGCACTCGATGTTCTGATGCCGCTCGTTGCCCGAACAGATGCGCCGGGTTCGATAGGGTGGACGTGGACGCCGCCCGGGCCCTTGGTTTGACTGTTGCGAGGGTGCCGGCCTACAGGTAAAGACCACAAGCCTCTTTTCCTGGTTCTCAATCAAGCTTCGTACCTGAGCTTGGAATGCCGCCAATACAGCTGTGGCTGCGTCTTGTGAGGTTGCACAAGCTGGTCAATGCGTTAACTTTGGAACCTTGCTGGGGGGATGTTCGGTGATAACTCCCGTTTCACCGGCTCAGTTTCAACAGTGATGCGTCACAATTCTTGTTCACTTAGGGCAGCTCGTCGTTCGGTCTCGCCAGCCAGAGGAGCCGATGTATTGCTACGCACAGTGGGGCAGTAACACAGCTAAGATTGGCGTTTCAAAGGGCACACTTGCAACCCCAGACGAGAAATAAATTTACCCTGTTCGACGTTCACAAATAATTGCTCGCCATTTCTCCGTCCTGTTCGGCGGTCCCCTTCACTATCTGCCCAACGTATCACCGTTGTCCACGGGAAAAACTCCTGGCGGCGACGACGACCACCACCACCACGCTCTGGTGAAGCCCGTACGCGGTGGCCGAACACGCCGTCGCCCTGCTGATGGCGCTCAACCGGCAGACGTCCCGGGCTTCCGCTCGCACCCATGACGCCAACTTTTCGCTCGACGGCCTGTGTGGCTTCGACGTTCACGGCAAGACCGTTGCCGTAATCGGCTGCGGGCGGGTGAGAGCGGCTGACTGCATCAAAACCGACAGCGTAGCACCCCAGTGCGAGTAGATGTGAAACCGAGATGCTGACCTCGTATCGAACCGAAACTGAGACCAACAGCAATAGCAGCGCACGGCTCTGGTAGTGGGAGTGGCATTTGAAACCATGCTGCCGGCCTTGTGTCGAACCGAAAACTGGGACGACGCCGTGCTCCCTCTAGGTAGTATCTCTGCATCCACGTTATTTTTAGTGTTCGACGACTAAGCACGTGCGTCCGCGCCTCGTCCGGACCCGATCATTGGGCTTTTTGCGAAACAGATCGGCCAATGCTTGTGCAACATCTTGCTCGGGTTCGGGGTGAAGCTCTTGTGCGTCGACGCTTTCGGGGAGGTCCCGGACCTAGTGAAGCGAGGGGCGAAGTTCGTCGAGTTGGAAGAGGTAACGTATGTCGCACTTCCGTTGACATATCAAAATCGTGTTTTCTCAGTGTGCCATTTAAATGCTTGGCGTGCTTGTATTTGGGTCACAGTTGTGAGGGAATTCCGCACGTTTAGATGTTGTAGAAGAGTCAAACAGTCAGGGCCCAACTAGAAGCCCACATCTCTACTTTGCCCGGTACAGATCAAACAAGCACTTGCTGGGTAGGGTTTGCCAATATCTCCATGTCGGATGGGAGCTGGGTAACTAAGCGAATGGTAGTGATAGATCTAATCCCCTTCATTCATGGTATCGTTTTGTGCCCCGCTCGCTTGTCTCAAACCAAGGCGTCAGGCCCGCCAAATACCCCCCCCGCCTCCCCCACGTGCTTCGCACGGAGAGCAGCCAAAAGAACGGGATCAGGCTCGGTTTCTACGGATCAGCGTACAGGGATTCGTTGGTCGCAGTCGGGATCAAAGTGGTAGATACCGGGCACGGCAGGTAGCCGCGCCCTCTTTTCCCTTGTCTGGCGGCGACCAGACTTTCCAGCTTCGGTGGACCCAACGCCAACTTTCTCGTCACCTTGTTTTCGTTGTTCTCCATCGTATTTCTAATGTAGGTTTGGCCGGAAGCCGACGTGGTGTTCTTGCAGGTGCCACTGCTTCCGTCGACTCGTCACATGATCAACGACGACGTCTTGCCCAAGCTCAAGAAGGGAATGACCCTCATCAACACTTCCCGAGGAGGTAAGCACCCTCCTCGCCCCCCGACAACCCCAAGGACCGAGGACCTTGTGCTTGCGTGCGATCTAGCGGCAGAGCGTTGGCGGTCCTTCATTGGTTTTCGAGACTTTATCTCGCCCCAATCACCACCACCGCCAATCCCCTTCTACTCACAACCCCCCGAGCTTGCGCCTAGTCGAATCGCGGATTCGAGGGTCGACCAGCCGGTATAGCTGTTCTTGAGTCCCACGCTTACTTTGAGTACGTCTCCTTCCCCCTCTTGATTTTCCCGAGCGCTACGTTGGCCGCCCGTGTTCACGTCGAAGGTCTGGTGGACACCGAGACTCTCATCAAGGGTCTCAGATCTAGGGTCATCCGCCAGGCTGGTCTGGACGTATACGAGAACGAGGCGCCTTACTTCTTCAAGGACTGCAGCGATACCCCGGTCCAGGTGAGCTATGCCGCCACTCGGTTGTCGTTGGTGTGTGGTCCAATCAACGACGACATCGCAAGGATGTCGCAGTTCAGACTCGTATCGGTGGTGCATTGGGTCCAACCGACGACACGGCGAGGGTGCCACCGTCTGCCTGCGATGTGAGATGCCTCCACACAGTTGCGGCGCGTCTTCGCCGATGGGCTCGTGCGCGTACCGACCCGTCCTCACGATCTGCTTGTGTGCCGACAACGCAGGACCCCGTTCTCTCGGAACTGCTGAGCTTCAACAACGTACTTCTGACGAGCCACCAGGTGCGCAACTTGTGGTATGGCAACTCCAGCTTTTGGGCAGAACAATCCACAGAATCCGTGGACGGGTGTTTCGCTGGCGCCTCTGGTGTCATACCTGTTTCGGCGGATGGAGCTCGACTTGTTTCGCATGCTGGAATCGATAGCAGTGCTTTGTGTGCAGGGTGGCATAGTTTGGTGCTGCTTCCCTTCGTAACCCTTCGTAACACAACGCCATCTGTTCGGCGCGTGCTCTCCGGCGTTTCGCCCTCCCTCGCAGGCGTTCTTCACACAGGAGGCGATCGACGGCATTGTCAACACCACCTTTGGTGAGATTTATCGTTAGTTGGCGGCCCAATCATGCGCATAACCACGTGCTTTGTTGAAGCCCTGCCGTGCCCTCGAGACGTCCACTGCTGGACAGTCGTCGCTTCGATTTAGAAAGAATTTAACGCTGTCTCCGACCAACTGGAATTCTATGATCTGTGCAAAATGATTCATTTCGCAGTTCCATTCCCCCTGACTAGTCAAGAACGTCTTAACGAACAACGACCAATCTCATCAGGCGGCATTTCCGGCTGTGGTATGCACTCTATTGTCTTGTTGAATATCGCAGATAACATATCGGAGTGGCGCAGCGGTAGCAAGGGCAAGGCTCACAAGAACTCAGTCTTCTAAGCAGCATCACATGCGATGCTCGGGCGACGTCCGCGTTAACGCTCATGAGTCTCCTAGCCCGCAAGCGGCATGACGAGGGACGCACAGCGCTGAAGATCGACATTAAAATACTACGAGCGAAATGGCAGAAGGCGTGATGTCTTTGCCTCAAACGATGATGATTGGTATTGCGTATTGTGTTGAATGCTTCATGTCTATTGCTTGGTCCACGAGGTTTTGGTGCCGGGAGACCACTCCGAATCTCTGATCGATTGGTGCTAGTTCTCCAAAGTTTTGTCATGTTTTATTCGTGTGTTTTTTGGTGTGCCACGGAGGGATCTTGTCGATTGCTTCATGTCTATTGCTTGGTCCACGAGGTTTTGGTGCCGGTAGACCACTCCGAATCTGATCGATTGGTGCTGGTTCTCCAAAGTTTTGTCGTGTTTTATTCGTGTGTTTTTGGTGTGCCACGGAGGGATCTTGCCGATTGTTTCATGTCTATTGCTTGGTTCACGAGGTTTTGATGCCGGTAGACCACTCCGAATCTGATCGATTGGTGCTGATTCTCCAAAGTTGTAGTCATGTTTTATTCGCGTGTTTTTGGTGTGCCACGGAGGGTTGTTTTTGGTGTGCCGCCCTCTCCAGCCATGGTAGGTAGATAGGAGTCTGGAGCTTCTACCGGCCGTTCTTGGAAGCCGATGGAGAATCCTGATGGGGAAGTACCGTAGTTGTGCCAAGAACAGCACTGCTGACTTGTGAAAGGGCTTCCAAAGGTCAATTCGTCGTTGCTTGGCTAGTAGTGCACGTCCCAGTTTTGTTTGTGATTTGTCAAGGCAGAATCTCTCAGTGTTTATTGATCCGAAGCTGGACAGCGGCGAACGGTGCATGGTGTATTTTGTTGGAGAGATGTCATTTCCCCTGCGTGATCGTGAAAGGTTGCTCATCATACGTTACGGACGAAAACTGGTTTGTGAGTCCTGGGCTTGAACAGCACAACTACTCGTCCAACGCGCCGAAGACAACTTTTTTCTCGTTGCTCCTTTAGTGGCACACGCGTTTGGACGTCGCGCAATCATCGACTTTCGTCTGTTCCGTTTCTTGATCACCGGCGCAGCCCATGGATGTCAGCGACACGCTGTCGGGGGTGATTTCAAGTTCGGGTGTATGTGCACTTCTCTAGCGCCGGATACTGCTGTCGTTTCAACCTCACTCTTACCCGATGATACCAGTGCAAAGACAACACTTTTCTTTTCGTTGAGCAGATACTTCATTAGGGTTAGGGTTGCACATCGAGCCGCAGAGAAGGAGTCGTTCAGGTGTTGAAACGTTGAAACGCTATCTGTAGCTTGACACTGCTCATATTCAACGCATCGTGAAACCGCCGGGATAATTTTTAGTTTTTTTTTTTTTTTCTCCCATCATTGGACTCTGTCGTCTGCCCCTCTGGCCCCTATCCTCCACTTCTACTAGCTAGACGACCCAACTGGGGTTACACAGGAGCGGGGGGTTGGATCCCCTCCTGCGGTCCCTGCCTGAGATATTTTTATCGCGAGAAGGGTACAGCAATCCCTTCCCTCGCGACTTAATTAAGAAGTCGATCAAGTTTACTAACAACGAGCTTTGCAGCGCATCGCTTCCAACGGCGACCAGGATTTTAAGTAGCGAGCAAAAACTCACTCTGTCGGAACTCGAACCCATGACCTGGCCTTCTGCAGGCTGCGAGGCTACCCACTAGACCACCGAGGCGACCGGTGAGTTTGTTGTTGTTTTTTCTCCCATCATCGGCTGTCGTCTGCCCGTCTGGCCCCTATCCTCCACTTCTACTAGCTAGACGACCCAACCGGGGTCACATAGGAGGGGGGGTTGGACCCCCTCCTGCGGTTCATGCCTGAGGTATTTTTATCGCGAGAAGGGTACAGCAATCCCTTCCCTCGCGACTTACGAAGTCGATTAGGTGAGTGTACCTCACCCGCTCCCTCGCTCCCGCTCAGCTCCTTCCGTATGTAGTCTGGTACCATGTACGTGTTCTTGTGGTGGCATGCGGTAGGGCTATGCATCTTCTAATGCATCTAGATAAGAGACTAGAGAAAATGTTACAGCAGTATCGAAGGGTTGTGTGTGCCCAGGGTGTGTACGTGTGTACATTTGCGGCGGATCTTCGCCGCAGCCAGCCGAGACTGTCAGGAACGTTCTCGGCGTCGAGCCGAGAGATCCCGCTTCTAGTTTGAGTTTCGTGCCCGCCACAACATCTGATTGTGGCACAAAATCTTTTCTCCATCTGATTTGGCAGCAACACAGCAGCTCGTCTGTCTGATAAAGACGGACCATAACGGGTGAGTGTGTGTTTGGTTAGACTGATTCGCTCTCTAGCCGATGGCTGTGTGCTGGTGCTCTTGTTTCCAACTCTTCAGCGCCGGTGATCTGCAAGACGGGGCTGTTTGTTACGCCGAAGGCTGAGGGTGAATCCAGTGTTCACCCTCGAGCCCCCGAGGAGATAAGGCCTCACTATATTTGTTCCAGGTAGCAGTCGACCACGGCAGGCGCTGTCAACGCGTTGTGATGCTGTAAGTACATTGTTGGTTCAATTAGTGAGAGAGGACGGTGGCAAGAAAGGGAGAGGCGGTGGGTGTAGTCGAACCCTGGCTGTTGTCTGTACATGTAGTCTAGTCTAGATCTACCCTTGCACAGCCCAGAAAGTTCCAACACGTCCGATTGTTTGCGTTGTCTTAACAGTGGATCTCAGAAATACAGGTGCTGTGAGTACCGTTAGCGCCCGCACTTCAGTACTTACAAAACCGACCCGCACTTACGAAAAATACAGGTGCTCAGTCAAGAAGCCTACACAATAAACTATCCATATCGTCACCGTGGGGATACCCCATAGACTACTGCTGTAGACAGTAAGAGGCGAACCTCGGCCGAGGTGAGTGCCCTAAACAACTTGAACAGTTCCAAAACATCAGCCTCGAAAACTTAATCTAAGAACTTGAGCATCGTAAGTGAGCTCCCTTATGCTTAAACCAATATAGCGAGCGTCATCCGATCCAAACCCTACTACTGTAGAAAATATGAACCCCAGCCTCGGCCAAAACTACAAGTGCTGGCGCCTACTGTAGTAGTCAAACACATCAATATCACACCGATACACTGCTGCTGTAGAGCGGGACAGAGATGTTGTAGACGATGCTCTGAAGCGATCCAAGACGACAAGCGTTGAACGACCGGACATCTAAATTGTGTGTCTCCGAACGCTGTGAGGTTTAGTCTACACGCGTGGCGGTCCTGAAGACCCTAAGGCATGCGGAGTACAAGTATACTGTTCGCTGCCATGTGAATGATCTGTTCCGTATGAGTTGTATGAGTTGGGGCTATTGGGTACCCCCGAGGTGTCTGACGTCCCGCATCGCAAATCACGATCGTTGGAGCAAGCACGAAGCTCGGTGAACAGCAGCCGGGACCGGGGAGCACGAGGCATGTGTCTCTGTCCGGGCATAGTGGGGACACAAGGCCTTGGCGATTGCGACATCGGTGTCATGATAGCCCCCAACCCTACCCCGCTTCTATCTGCTCCTCCTCCCTGTCCCTCTCACATTGCGCGAATGTCTTAGGGCTGACACCGCGTAGGTGCCGAATTTGCCAAGCATCCCAGGCGAGACGTGATGTGTTCACTACGCGGGGAGAGTACTGCTGTCACAAGGGGAACTTTTGTTCGTCGTAGGCAGAGCAACCTGTTGTCTAAGATCTACTACACTTCTGAGAGTTGTAACTGTATTATACCGCTGCATATGGTGGTAGGTTTGGTCTTGGTTCGGGTTTCGAGGGACCCCGTAACCGAAGAGTACCACGGGACCATGATGACCCTCATGGTTATCGCCTTGGTGCGTAGGAAGGCATGGGGAGGCCAGACGCGTATCCCCCCACCAAGTACAGGAAGAGGAGGTTTAGCACACCTGGGAAGCCACGTGGAACAACGACCCGCTGAGTCGTTCGTTAATACCACCCCCCAGCCTGGTCCGGTGAGAACCCGGCGTGCTCCGTCCCGGCTTTGTAGGGATGCGAGGTCAATGGTCTAACGACTACGGCATGCACGACTATGAGTACACCCCCCCCAGCCCTTTTCTTTCGAAGTTGAGGGAGGCTGATACAAATACGAGAGTCGTACAGTTACCAGAGCCATACAACCCGTGTTAGGGCGAGGTAGACTGCTAGTGAGTGGGTTTGTTGTCGACAGTGCACGCGTATGCATATGCAACGCACAAGGTCGATGTGTGGGAATTGCGTTTGTGTTCGGACGTTTTCGATGGGTGCCTATCATTGGGAGGGTCGTTAACTCGAGGCCGCAACTTTCTGACGCGGCTTGTGGAAACAAGACGGAAAGGTTGTGTTTATGGGTAAAAGACGCGTACGGATGCCGAGAAAGCTACTGTAGTGGCGCTACATACTGTATGTGCCAGACCTTCCTTCCCCTAACTCAGAACACAATGTTATCAAGGTAAGAAATTATTCAAGTCGAAAGAAAAAAACAGCGCTGCCGTTGTATCGATCAACGCCAGAAATTACACCGCACCGTCGTGCACGCACGGTCTCCAACAGTGGGACCATCGTGAGCGCTGAACCCCCGGAAAAAAATGTAACAGACTATGTTTGTGCAAGTTCCGCTAAAGCTGGACACGCTAGACATGTCCGTACGCCTCGTAGCGCCAATCGACCATATAAGTATGTCACTTTTCTCTTTTAGCTCGTCGTGCACGTTCTCTCCCCCACTTCAGGTCAAGTAGTATTGAGTCACACCCTGTGCTTGCTAGTCCAGGGCCCGCTGCTTCACCGCATGGAAGGTGAAGGTACTGTCGTCACCTCTACTTAGATATATAGTATCATGATGTTTGTATGTTGCACATGCTTGCTGTTCAGTAGTGCCGGTGTTCCCGTTTGGCCCTGGGTGTTGCATGCGCTTGTCAGTCTCGTTACGATGTGATAGCATCCTGCGCTTTCGATTCGAAATGTGATGACTCTCCGCCGACTGCAAGTAGAACGGCTCGGTGAGTGGCAGCTCAGTACAACCCTTGTTTGGACAAGGAGGATATATGGCTCGACCCGGTGCGCATGGATACAACACTCTGGCTGCGGATGAGTCTGAAAACTTGTTAGAGCCCGGTTTCACTGTAGAACGAGAGACTAAGCATGTAGGGAAGCATTTGAGAGCGCCAACAAAGGAGGCGAGTCAACTCGGCGTGTCGTTTGCTTGAAAAGAAGTACACACCGGTCAGTGCGCCGTACAGATAACCGACGGCCTTTCTAGCAAATAATATCAACCCCCTGCTGGACGGTTTTCCCGTCAACGGTGGTGTTACGTTTTGTCCGAGGATCCTAAGCTGATCAGGTGCGCGTTGTCCCAAAAGGCGAATGCGGGACTACTTCCGTTGGCACATGCCGGAACCATCCCTCCGCTTGCTTGGTAGTCCTTTTGCGGCCTCATTTCTTCATCCGTTGCTGGCCTACTCTACTCCGTGCGAACCAATCTTTGAGTGCCTCACGCCCTTGCCAAAACCATCGCCCGCTTGTTATCCTTCCTCCGCGCGAAACCAACGAGTGTTGCGGTGAACACACCGTGGCGATTCTCGCCCCCACCCTTTCTCTCCACACGTGGCTTGCTCAGATGTGCCAGCGCACGTGGAATTGACGCTGGAAGGTCTGCTTTTTTCCATTAGACTCATGGCGACGGATGAGGAGCAGAACCCCACCCCTCATGTTGGTGTTCTTCGTGCTGTTGTCTGCTAGCGACCTGTGGGAGGCGTGGTTTTCGTAAGTTTGCCTTCGCTTTTAGTTTGTTGGAGAAACTTGTAGCACTTTTCTGGCGTCAATTTATATTTTTCTTTTTTGTAGAGGGGTGTACCCGCTTCTGGGGCAATTGGCTTTTGTGACCACGGGAGCATCAGCGTCAGTTGGACCAGTAAGGACATGTGAAGGTACTGAGCGGAGACCGGGACGGTTTTTAATGTCAAGACAACAATAACAACGACAACAACAACAACATGTTAGGTTTGATGGCGAAAGCGTCATCCCCTTCGACTGGCAAAATTTCTCCATCGCATGCATACTCGCCCGCATCCATCCATCCGAGCTCTCTCCGCCGCTTGAACAATCCAAACAACCACGCCACCGTGCGACTACTAAAATGTACATTTTCCACACCGCTGCCTGCTTCATGGAAAATGTGTCCAGTCTATCCCGTGAGAGCGTCACACCCCCCCTTCGCGCGTATGTAACCATCAGTTTCTCCTCGCCGGGGAGCGGGCCCGTTCCGATCCTCGCAATCTTAAGCGTGCTGTTCTTGATTGCTGGGATCACCAGCATCGTCGCGGCGAGAAGGAACGTTCCCCCCAACGTGCGGCAAGACCCGAAAAAAGCGAGTGGGTCCACACATGATGCTGCAACAAGCACAGTCGGCTGTTTTTTTTCCTCGGGGGAGCGGGTGTTCGGTAAAGGCCCCGACCTGGTGTTTGGGGCTGAGGTCCTACAACCTTCAGGGTCTGGTTGCGCTGAAGAGAAAAGCGTCAGTGACCGGCATTGTTGGCAATGTTTCGTATGGTGTTCTTCGCGGTAATTTGTTTTTTTTATTTGACAGTCGGTGGAGCTTCGCCCGCCAGGTTGTTGGCAAGATACACGGCCGATCTTTGGGCGCATCTGCCGCCGAGGGAATGCTTGGTTGACTAGGCACTCCACGAGACGAGGCAGTCTTCATCAACCTCTTTAGTCGGGAAGCCTCGACGCGGTCCCGTACCAATAGAGCTTATCGCCTGTTCACGTACACCACGTGAAGCGATGTGTCCCTTGCAAGAGAACTTAGCTTTTTGGTATCGGCTTGGGTGATAATTTAGTGCGTGAAGCACGGTACGTTGGCGTTGACACACATGTGCTCGCTCGTTCCGAACGGGTCCTGTGCTCTTTATCCCAGCCTTTTGCGTCTACCGTCACCGCCGCGGTATCCCTTGCTCTCGCCCCACTCCCTCTCACGTTACCTCCATGATGCTGCAGACGTCCGCATACTAGATGCTACTGACGCACGACTGTTGTATTTTCTTCCCGTCAGCAATATTCTGTGAGTCCTAGGTTGTTTTAGCCCGCCGACAAGGTATCGGCTCCATCGTCGGCCCTGTGGCATGCCTCTGCCTTGGTCCTGTGGATAAAGGGACACCACTGCAGCGTGTACCGGTCGGGGGGAATCCCCCTCCAAGTCCGCCAGCGCTTTACGATGTACCATGGCACAAAAACCAACTACTAATGGAGATGCAGTTGTCGATTGCATGGGTCATAGGCCATATCACTCCTCACCCCCATGCACCCGTCGGCTGCTACTATACAGGGCAAGCCTATCCCGTGCCGAATCGGGCAAGGTCCCACTGGGCTACCTGCTCCGCAGGGTTGCTTGTCTCGGCGTGGCTCTTCGCTGCTGATCGACGAAACGTTCCTGTTGGCGCACCAACGGTACTCTGCTGTGTACTCGTGGCTACGGCAGACGCAGGGTCGGTGTTCTGGAGGTAAGTGTGGTTTGTTTGGAGGCTTAGCCAAGCTGGTCCGTCCACGGCCCATTGCCCACTACTCCCAAAAGCTAAGCTTTTGGACGGATGTGCCGCAGAGTAAGCAACGTCCGTCTGTTTTAACCAATAGCAGCCAGGGCCTGACTAGAAGTTGTTTTTTCGCTGGATAGTTTTCTCCCTTTGCGGTGCGTTTCTCCGTTTGACCGTGTGGCACGCGCCCCCTCCAACGCACACCCTCCCCCGCCACCCTCGGTTGGGCTGTTTCTGTTTGTTCCCTTTGCGAATGGCACATATGTAGTGCCATGGCACCGCGGCCTACCCTGTATGCTCCGTCCCCGGCAATTCTTGTGGTCCCCGACTCAGCGGCGGCGGTCGCGTGCCTGGGAACGGCTTCTCACGTGATGCGCGGTGCCTGCCGATAACTGCACAGGTCCTTGAATTGCTTCCAGGGCTACGAGATACGGCCTGAGAGAAAAGGTTTTGTGAGAAAAGGTTTCGTGGCACGCAATTCGCTGATTGGAAAGAAAACCTGCGGCGGAATCTCAAAAAATGGGCACGACCCCAATATCCTTGGACGATGGGCAGCGTCATCCACGGTCGAAAAGCCGGAATCTTGGGAAAACCGTGTCTTCTGATGACCTGGTGTTGGGACAGGGATGGAGATGGATCCGCCGACCGACCAATCTCCGGGTGCGTGTCGTCTTGTTTGGGGATGATGGATGGAAGATGGATTGTTCTGGTCGATCTATAGGCTTGGCGGAGAATGAACATTTGCTGGTGTTTTCATGATGCCGCTCGCCCATCTCATGCTCGCGATGGCCCTGATAGGACCTTCCAAATACATTACTGGCACGCAGTTTGTATGCGAGAGAATTCAGGAAACCGGAGAGTTAGATGCTGCTGCCTTTGAATCGCCGTGTTGTGCTGAAAGATCAGGGTCATTGGAGTAGAAAGTTTTGAGGGTAAAACATGTATTGGCGGTTTGATCTGCGGGGCTTGTATTGATGTGGACAAGGCGAGGATTTGTCTTTAGGACTTGCCTGCTTCTTGCGGTCGTTCGCTAAGAATGTCAGGACCAGGTACATGGCTTCTACCCGAGAGTACCGCGAAACGTGTAACGGCTTCGTTAGGATATGATTTTTACCTAGCGAGGCGTGCTACTGGTGGTTTGCCTTTTTTCACAGAGACTGGGGCTATTTACCAGTGCTACATCAGGTAGAAGTGCTTAGGAGGAGGGGGTATTGTTGCGGCTTAGCGGTGTGAAATGTGCTTTGTCCAAAGGTTAGCCATCTTGATGTATTGGGCAATGGATGATTGTTCGCGATCGAAAAAGTTGATGTGTAGAAAAGGTTATTTGAATTATGGTTGGAGGGTGTGCCGCCGTTACTTGATCTCGACGTTTCTTCTGAGGCAGACAAACGCATGTGGAACACCCGCTGATAACCGGAGATGGCATCATTTCTCGGGGACAGGTTTTCGTTTCTCAAGTCGCATAGAGTAATGTACGATATAACGATAGTGATTGTTATGGATATGTTACTTGAATAAGAAGAGGAATCGGTGATGAAACACATGTAATGTGTGATGAATTTCGAAAACGATGGTAGTGTTTCAGCGGGCTATCTGGTCTGTTTTTGCTTCCGCCGGTCACCACCCGTGCAAGAAATGGAAGAAAAATGGATTCAAATAAGAACGGGCCCGCTGAGAACAAAAAAAAATAGGCTGCTTTCAGGAAAAATATGAACCGCACCTGAGCGGTGGATCCTACACTACTTAACTCTGGTTACAACAACCTGTGCTCGACAGCAGTGGCGACGATACGAAGAAACTGAGCGCTTCCACCTTCAATTGGCGTTTCTTATATCCCGGGTCCGTTCTGTAATGAACACCGGCCAGGAAGACGGTGGTGGCAAACAAGCATGAACACCCCCTCCTCCACCGACATATTTGAGCTGAGATACAGATGGCGCTTGCACTTGGAGAACTTCGCAGTTATGAAATGCAGCCTCGAAAGAATCAAAAGTTAAGAACTTAGCCATAAGAACACGTGCTCAGTTCCGACGTGGTCCTAAGCACAAGAACCCGTATTTGTGGTTTAACAAAGCGCCTTCGGGTAAGAATAGACCCCCCAAAAAGTGGCAGCTGCAAGATAAGAACTCGTGAAGGTGGTCAGGGGTGACTACGGGGTGTCCGGTCACCCCCCCTTCCGGCAGTTTCAGATCAGCGACGAGGAGGAGGATCTCCGTTCCAAGCAATACTGGTGCGGAGGGGGGCGGGGGGCGGGGCGTACTCTTATGTTTTGCATGTCTTCGTGGTTAGACCATTGACCACGTGTCCTCGAGAGGACGGAGTATTGTTCTCACAGAACCATAGACCGATTTGCCAATCGTCCCTCCTTCACAAAAAAAATGGTGTCTCAAAAATGTTGTCCCTAGCCAATCTATCCTATTGATATTACGTCCCGCCTCTTCAACCCACGTTCTATGCCCCGGTACAGCTACCTAGCTGGTATTCCATGCCTCAAACACCTGCCTGTATCTTCCTTATACTTTTCCCAAGGCTCAGTCACGTAAAATCTCCTCTCGTTGCACAACACATATTCCGCATCTATCTACGTGAACCCGGTGTTCGCACTCGGAGCCACGTTCACATTTATTTTACCTTGGTCGATGCGGAGGGGGGGGGGGGGTAGGCGCTTTGCTTTNCGTTCTATGCCCCGGTACAGCTACCTAGCTGGTATTCCATGCCTCAAACACCTGCCTGTATCTTCCTTATACTTTTCCCAAGGCTCAGTCACGTAAAATCTCCTCTCGTTGCACAACACATATTCCGCATCTATCTACGTGAACCCGGTGTTCGCACTCGGAGCCACGTTCACATTTATTTTACCTTGGTCGATGCGGAGGGGGGGGGGGGGTAGGCGCTTTGCTTTGTTGTACAAGGCATGCCCCTCATCGCGTGTCATTGGGGTGCCTGCCACGCTGCGTGCCATGCACGAGAGCCATATCTTTACCCCTTGAAATATTGAAAGAGCTCGGCCAGCTGTCAAAGTTGAAAGGAGGTGTAATTCTTGGTCGACACTTAGTCTAGAGGCCATCAAAGAACATGTCATTGCTGGCAACTGCCCACGAAGTCAGACTGGGAGGACATCGAGTCGGCGCGGGGGCGACGAAAGCTTGCCGATACCTCTTCCTTCGTCGCACCCACCAGTTTTTGAATTCAAGCGTTTAAATCCGCTGCTCTTGACAGTTCGTTGCTGAATGTAGGGTATTCGTAAAGCTGAGCATGGGCTGCGGCCGTCTCAGGAGCGTACCCGCCACTTTTACGACTACCGTATACATTTCGAGCTACATGTAGACCAAAGACGCGCCGCATGAATGCCGTTGGACAAGCACCGTGAATATGTGGGTGCGGTGGTAGGGTGGTGGGCATTGCTTGAGGGGAGTGCGCCGTGAAGCAGGGAGGACGTCCGGCATTCGAAGAGCAGGGTGAAGGTCGCAATGTCGCCACGACGGGCGTTAGAGCGGGGAGGGCAATCACGCCGGACGTGACCCTTATGGACCTCTAAACGGGTCAAGGTGTTTGCGCAGATGCGTCTTTGTTCAGGCGATACCGCGTCTGTATTTAACTCTACCCTATCGTTCGTCATCTACGGTACGTCGATATTCCGGAGGTCTCTGTTGAGCGACCTTCTATTATTAGACTATTCTCTGTTTTTGAACATGCCCTCAAGTGCCATGCTGAATCCACCCAGAAAAGAAAAAGTCCTCCGAATGGGGCCCTCGGCGCAGATGTAAGAACAAGAACCCCGTGTATCATACGGATATGCCTGCTCGAAGTAAGAACTTTGAAAATAAGAACAGGTGCTTAATTTGAGGCAGCCAAAAAGCATCGAGCCTTGGCCACTATAGACTTAATAGACTACGCGGTTCTCAAGTGCGGGCGCCATCTGTGCAACATATTTTTCTTTCCCTTCCCTTCTTCTGACGGGACGGCATTCATTGTGGCTACACAGCATCGTGTGCTTGCATCCACTGCAATCTGACCAACCTGACTGACCTCTCTCCGACGTTCTTCTTGTTGAGCGACCTCGCTGGTAAAAGGATAATTAGGGATTCGAACACCTCGCGTGCGTCTGGCTTCATTCGTTTTCTGAGCCTAAAACCAACCGTACGAAACAAGATAGCACACCCCCCAGCAGCAACTGCATGGGGCCTCAAAGAACAGCGCCTTCGAGGCGACCCTGAAGGCGATGCTCAAGGCGGCGCGGAAGAAGCGCAGCACCGCGAGGTGGAGAGCACTGGAAACGTTCTTCGAGGGCCATGTACGGTAGCTCGAGAAGACGAGCCGCGAGGGGGATCAGGCGGGTCTCTACAGGCACCTGAAGATGATCGACGTGGAACGTAAGAGGGCGTTCACCTCTCAGAACTTCAAGGACGAGGACGGCGAGGTCCTTCGGGACCCCACGTTTATTCGCCAACGGTGGGCACGGTGGTTCCTCAAGCTTCTCAACACCAAGTCGCCGACCATCGACCTGCATGCGGCTGACAAGGTCAAGCGGTGGCCCACGTGCGTGCCACTCGACGACATCCCATCTCTACTTGAGGTTGAGGAAGCGGTACGGGAAATGGCCAACAGAAAGGCCGTCGGGCCGGACGACCTACCGGCTGAGCTGATCAAGCTTTTCCTGGACGGAGATCAAGGTCTCCTCCGCGA